TTTGTACATCACAGTTATCTCCAGATACATAAAAGAATACATACTGGAGAGAAACCCTATGAATGTAATCAATGTGGTAAAGCCTTTGTACGTTACAGTCATCTACAAATACATAAAAGAACACATACTGGAGAGAAACCCTATGAATGTAATCAATGTGGCAAAGCCTTTGCAGATAGCAGTCACCTTCGAATACATAAAAGAACACATACTAGAGGGAAATCCTATGAATGTAAGTAATGTGGTTAAGCTTTTACATGTAGCAGTATTTGAAATCATGAGAAAACAATCATATAGAAACACTATAAATGTAGTCAGTGTGGAAAAATTTTGCACTTCATGGTAGTCTTTAGACAAGAGTAAAACATTTAGTGTGTAATCAATTTGTTAAAGCCTTTGCACATCATATTAATTTCTGAGAACCTGAGAGAACTCATACCAAAGCAGATCTGACTATAAAGTATTTGATAAGATCTTTAGCCAAAACAGTCAGTTATACAAGATTAATTATTCCAGAGAAAAAGACCTGACAAGGGTCAAAATCTGTTCAAGCATTATGATGTACATCTTTATTTTATTTGCACCTGTGAACTCATGTGGACAAAATCCCTATGAATTTAAACTATGAGGTAGCCCTTTTAGATTTCACTTTTTTCTTCATTTACATGAAAGAATTTGTCTGGTGCAAAACTTCATCAGTAGTGCCTTTTCTGTTGCTGTGATAAAATGTAATGTCTAAGGCAACTTATAAAATAGTTTAATTTGGCTTATGGTTCCAGAGGGATATAGTATCACAATGAAAATGACATGGCAACAAACATCAGATATGGTAGGTAAAGCAGGAAGTTCAGAGCTCACCTCCTGAATCTGCAGCATGAAGCAAGGAGAAGGAGCTGGAAAGGGTATGTGGATTTAAACTCTCAAGCCAACATCCAGTGACATATTTCCTCCAATAGGATAGAATTTCTTAAATCATCCTTATGATACCACCAACTGAGAAGGATTGATTTCTCTGACTTTGAGCCTACATGCTTGTTTTCTGTTCCTTGAACAAATTCATGATGCAGAAAAATGCCATAGGTAAGCCTTTAGATGCCTAAACATCTGGATAACAGGAATAAATGCTTACATGAGAAAAACATCCATGAGTGAAAAGTTGTTCAGTTATTTATGTCTTTGTGTGGGTATGTGCCTGTGCATGTGCATACTGGTCCCCAAGATCGTTAGACCCTGTAATCTTCTCGTAGTAGGAATTATAGGAAATTGTCAAAATTCTGACCTCGGTCCTGGGAATGAACCTGTCTTAACTGCTCTACTATGTCTCTAGCCCTGTAAATATTTTAAAGCCTTTTTCCTTGATGTTAGGAATAGGAATGAACTCATATACAAGAAAAACCATATTCATGTAAATGATTTGATAAAGACTTTAGAAATCACAGTTGCCTTCACTTTCAAGAAAAAAAGTTCATCTCTTTTTTCATCATAACCTTGAAGGCAGTGAATTATTTACCATGTTCACTCAAGTGTAATGGTAGAGATCACCAATTGCGGTTTGTATTTTGAAGTAATAGGAATATGTATTGAACTGTGCTGTATGTGTGGCAAACCCATTTACTGAAGTCTATTTGGTGGTTCACAGTTTCCTTCTGTGGCTTCTGTTCATCTTCTCGTGTGCTTTCACCTGGTGATAGGTATTTTCTGCTGTAATGTATAGAACGGGATGCCCATCATCTAAATGGTCCATCATTTAATTGAATATCAGGCAGTGTGTGATCATACTTTTCAAGTAAGGGGATATGTGAAAGGGTGGTCAGTTGTTTTTCCTGGTTTTGCTTTTCATATATTCACAAATTCCCTTGAGATGTTGTTGTTTTTTACCCAGCCTGGTTTGTATCAGTAAATAGTCAAGGCTACATTTGACCCCTTGATTCTCTTATGTCATCCTCCTAAGTCCAAGTCTAAGACTAGAAGATATACCCCCAACATGTCAAGTTTTGTGAACACATTTTAATAATGTTAATGTTAAAATGCTTAATAGAAGTAACTATAAGGAACATTAAATACCTCCTGTGTGTATCCAAAGCAGCATTTTCATCTCTCTGGTAGAGATGTAATAAAGTAGGATAATTAGCAATCAACTGTATATCTCATAAATACTTTGATGGCTTGGTGGTTTGAAAGAAAATGGCCCCCAAAGGGAGTGTCACTATTAGGAGGTATGGACTTGTTGGAGTTGGTGTGGTTTTGTTAGAGAAAGTGTGTCACTGTGGAGGTGGGCTTTGATGTCTCATATATGCTCATAAAAACTGACCACTTCCTGTTGCCTTTGGATCAAGAGGTAAGGACTCTCAGGTCAGCCCCATGTTTGCCTGCATGCTGCTTTACTTACCACCATGACTATAAAAGAGTAAACCTCCGAACTGTAGTGAGTCACACCATTAAATGGTCTTTTTAAAATAAGAGTTGCTGTGGTCATGGTGTCTTTTCACTCCAATGGAAACCTTAGCTAAGACAATGTACTATGGGCATGTATATGTTCTTTGACATTTCAGCTTCTTCATATCTCCATTAGTTATCCATTGGCACATCATTTTGAAGTACTGCCTAATAATGTAACAGCAACACAATTTATTTTTTAAAAAACATTTCTGGTGTGTGTGTGTGTGTGTGTGTGTGTGTGTGTGTGTGTGTGATGTGATTATAGGATTTTAGGCCATGACAGATATATGGAGACTGAAAGACAACTTTGTAGGGTATACATTTGGCCATCTATATATAATTATCAAAGTCAGGTTGCCAGCCTTGCACACATTTCCCACTGAGCCATCTAACTGATGCTCAAATGCAATAAGTTGATAAATTGCATCAGTAAACTATTGTGTTTTCAGATGGTAAATATATTGTCAGCTTAGGATGGGGGAAAATAGGACAATTTGCATAATAAATTCTATCTGTAAATGAAAATGATGTACAGTTATCTTTTTTGGAATGTGTTAATTTATTCTGAGAACTAAATACTTGTTCATAGCACTTTTTCAGAAACACAAATGAATGCCAGAGAATTATCTTACTGGGTAAAGTTGGTTGTTGCTAAGCCTGATTACCTGAGTTCAAGCTCTGGGAGATCTGCATTTTCCCACAAGTTTTTCTCTTATTTCTACATTTGGGCAGTGGCATATGCATACTCACATACCAGCACATAAATAAATAATTTAAAAACCCAAATAAGTGCCATTGAGGTCACTTGCAGCCAAACGAACTCCCTACATTTCATCTCTAGAACTCACATAAGAGAAGTAGATAATAATCACCTGTAACTTGTCCTTTCGATACCACATGCACACTATGGCACAGGTGTATACACACAAACATAGTTCAAACATTTTCAAATGGGTAAAAATTAAAAAAAAAACAAAGAAAATAATCCATTTTGAGAACATATGGAATGATTTGCCAGTTTAAATTATAATTATAGAATATCAAGAAGTATTACTGTTCATCAGAACAATGATAGTTCCTTTTTAAATATTATTTTATCCTTTCATTCTTTGATTCAAAGATTGGTCATTCTAAAAACATATCTTAGCTGGGTTTTATGCACACCTGTAATTCCAGCACTTAGGAGACAGTGGCAAGCCAATATTTCTGAGTGTTAGGCCAGCTTGGTCCACACAGTGAGTTTCAGGATAGCAATGGCTATGTAGAGATATCCTTTCTCAAAAAAATTTTGAAAATGAAGAAGTAATCTCAAATTATGGAACTTATCCTAATATAATCTGACTGGACTCTGACTGGTTTCAATTAAGCCTTTTATTATCTTTACTCACATCAAGAGCATTGTGTTAACAATGAAAATAAGAGACAATGTGGAGAGTCCATTCACAGAGGGATAGAAACCCATTGATTCCTCCTGCAAACATCTGATGGACTTTCATCACTGTCAAGTGATAAGAGGCAGAAGGAATAATGAGACAATGTCACCATCTGCATTTTAGTAATATATTTGGGAGCTGGAGAGTTTGCTTAGTAGCATTGCTTCTCTCATGTACCCTTGTTGAGTTCCTAGCACCCACACAGATGATGGCTGAGGACTACCTGTATTTCCCGATACAGGAGATCTGATGCATTCTTCTGGCCTCCTAGGGTAACAGATAAGCAAATGGTGAAGATTCCATATTGTAAAAAAGGTTTCTATGTATGTATTACTTTAAAAAAACAAAATTAATTCAAGTTTTGCCAGTGTGTATACCAAGTGTATTCCAGGTATCAGCAGAGGCCACAAGAGGGTGTCCGATTCCCCAAGACTGGAGTTACAGACAGTTATATGCCCATAGAGGTCAGAGGACAACTTGCCAGAGTTGGCTCTCTCCCTCCACAGTGTAGGTCCCATGGACTGAACTTAATTTGTCAGGCTTAGTGGCAGACACCTTTATCAAATGGAGCATTTTAATGGCCCAAGAATACTTTCTTATAGCCAACTCAAGCAAAGTAGCTGAGCTCATATTTAAATTCAGCACAGAGGCAAGACTGTAAAAAGTGGAGTGCAGATAGTTCAGACAGGAATTAGCTAGGCTGGAAACATTAGCATACTTCTGTCAAGTGTCACAAGATCTTTGCATTGATAGGGATCCATTTGGACAGTGTGTGCAGATTCCAAAGGCAAGGATTAACCCCTTCCAGCATTTAGTTTATTTCCTTTGCAGTATATGCACTTAACAGAAACACAAGGCTTCCTCTTCGGGTTTCACTGCTGCTCTGTCTCCATCTTCATTGACAACTCCATAGGTGTCTTCCAAAGTAGAAACAATCTAAGAAAAATGCCAAGCAAGTGCAAAAACAGTCACATCATGTATAGCTGTCTCTCTGTTGCCAGGGGCAGGGATGCAAACCTTCTGCCCTTTGTGGCATATCAAAAGGACACCCTGCTCAATAGTGCTTGACACTGCTTCCTAGCTGTGGGAAGTGACTCCAGGACTCTGTCTGCTTTGTGTGGATTAGTAGCTAAGAGTGGAAAGACATGTCTGTGACTGGCTGAAGATAAAAAGAGTTTTCCTCAAAGTTTGATTTTCCCCTTAACCACTTAACCTGGCAGAATGGAAGTTTTTGCTTGCTTACATAAGTATTGGAGATTTTTGTGTGGGTTTCCTCTTTAAAAGTCCTTCCCCATACCCCTCCTGGACCACAGTCTCAAATTTGGCTCAGAGATTATTCATCCTGTTACCAGCTACTCAATATTTAATTGGATTAAGTATAATTGGATTGAGTCTATGGTCTTTTCCCAGGGGTCACAAACTCCATAATACTAGCTGCAGCATTTTCTGGGCACTCATGCAGTATGGGGATTGTAGTTGCTGGGAGCCCTCTCCTGACACCTCTCAAACTAGGAAATAGGAAGTTTGCTCTGCTTTCTCTGCAACTCTCCCTCTTTCCCATTCAAAAGCAAGCTTCTTTCCCCTCTTCATTGGAAGTCCTGTCTCTGCAGTACAAAGTATTCCTTCCCCTGCTCCTATAGCACTACCAGGAATACAAGGCCGAGACTTTCATTCTTGACTTTACCCCTTTAGTAGATAACAGTTAATCCTATGCTCTTAACTAAATACTCAGGGATTTACCCATTTGGGTCATCAGCTGCTTGTGACTTCCTCTATGTGACTTCCCCATTCATATGAGGGCCAGTTTCCCTGGGCTCCACTCTTGAGCTCCCAGGGGATCAAATCAGTCTCACCACTGAATGGGAATGATCAGAGGGATCCAGTTCAGGACGTTTTCCCTTCTGGAAGTCAGTTCCAAGTCAACAAAATAATTGGGGTAAGATATGATCCTGGCATCTCTGCTCACCTTGCACAGGAAAGACAAAGAATTACAAAGAGCTCACTGCAATCAGCTTATTTGCAGACAGGTGGAGAAGTCTTAGCATTGAGCCTCTGGATTTGGGCTCCAGTACAGTTCAGAGAAGGAAGAGGATTCTATGCAATTAGAAATCATTCTTACCAAAACAGGAACAAATACACCACAGGTTGATGGAAGGCGAAACCCAAAATTATACCTTGCGGGCAATGAGTTCTGTTTACAGCCAAAACAGATTTTTTTTTTTTAATTCCTGTTTATTTGATACTGTATCCTAGCTAAGAGATAAGTCAGTTTGTTGTGTTAAATCCTTGTTAATTAATTCCATTTGTCCTGTGCTAAGGTAATTAAGACTTCCATTTGTAATCAAGAATAAGTTCCTGGTCTGATGTAAACTGCTTGTAACTTGCCATTCACTTGATGTATACCCTTGCCTTTGTTCATCCCTTTTCCATTGTATCCTTTTAACAATGAATAACCATAAACCTTCTCACCCCTGTGAACAGCCTATCTCTTCTATAAGAGAGACTTCCAGGACTTGGGGGAGACAGTTGGTTGGCCAGTTTTGGGTGCACCCAAGTACAGCTTACTTTAAGCTGGACAATCATGGCCTTGTTCCTTTCTAACTTGAGAATCTTAAGATTAACCTATGGAAGCCACAGTAGGATAGACTATCCACCCCAAATTCTGCTGAAGTTGGGGTTGAACTCTTCACTCTGGAATCCTTGAGAGACTGGTGAGCAACCGAGGGGTGTGTGCACCTTGGGATAGCTAATCTAGGTGACCCATGGCTCTGGGGAAGTGCTTCCCACTCTGTGAACTCCTGATATGAATGGCTACACTTGAAAAGAAAAAAAGCAAGAATTTTTTCCCTCCTCTCCCCTCACCCCCATGAGGAAGCATCCCTCTGGTAAGTCATCGGTTCTGTGGGATCCTAGTTTGGTGACATAGAGGGTCTGATGAGCCCCCCCCCAATCCTTTGTCCAGGGCAAAGGGGAATGTCCCATGGACTACTGGTTATTTCTGGTTAATTGGGATTTCAGCCAGAGCCACCAGTTGTTTTCTGACCTGCCTTGGAGCTCTGAGCATGCCCTGATGACACTGGGGACCAAGTCAAAAACTTTGGAGAGGCCCAGCACCTTGATGCCACTATCAGAAGTGTTCCAATGCCTAGGCTACACAACAAAGCCAGGGATGTCCCAAGACACTGGGAGCCAGACCTAGAGTTTGGAGAGGCCCAGTATGGGGATGTCAGGCAGTCCAGGGGTTCAGTCCAAGGAGTCAACTAAAACAGCCTCTGATTTGTTAAATTCTCTTGGTCAGACTGATGAAACATCTGTGTGACACCAATTGCTGCTGTCCTCTCTGTTATTTTTGTTTTGTGTCCTGTCTTGTGTCTGGTCTGTCTTTGTGTGTTATGGCTTGGGGTGACTAAATTAGATGAATGCATGACATAGGAAACAAGCCTGGTAAGGTGGGCAGTCCTCTAACCTGTGTCCTAAAAAAAACTTTAGCAAACTTACCCCTATAGTTAGGAAAGATTCCAGCTATCCCATCATCAAGATTGGGCTGCGAATGTCTTGTGAGCTTGAGTGGCCCAAATTTGGGGTCAGCTGGTCCCCAAGAGCACTTTTAACCCACAAGTGGCCTGGACAATAGTAAATATCCATGGCAATCCTGGCCATCCAGATCAAGTTGTATATTTTTTTGCCCTGGGCCAAGGCCAATTCTGTCCTGCCTTCCTGGATGAGAGTATTTATGATCCAGAGTGAATAGGGCAGCCAAGCTCTCCTAGTTAGTAGAAGAGCCTTCCAGGAGGTGACTGCCAGACTCAGGAGCCTCCTCCAAAACCTGCTCTAGGAGACTCTGCCCTGCAAGCCCAAGACTTTATTCTAAAGGCAGTCCTTCAGGAGTTACCAGAAGACTTGGAGTCCCCTCCCCACTTATAACCATTTCTACCTGAGCTTCCTTCAGTGTCTGAGTATCATCCCATCCAACACATCTAGCACTGCCCAGAAGGCTACAGACATATGTGTCTCCAGAACCAGCTCCTACCCCACCACCTCATCACCCTCCCCTGCTCCCTATTTCCTCCACTCCTGGCTCCCGTTTCCAGCTCCTGTATTTCTCCCTGACCCCCCCCCCTCCAATGACCAACAGGGGACTCCCACACTGTTCTCCAGCCCCTCTACCCATCCCCTCCCAGGGCTCCTTGAACCCTCTCCTGCTCCCTCTTGCTCTGCCCCACAACCTGTCTCCTCTCAACCTCTTCCAGCCTTCTCCGTGCAACATACTTGTCAGGGAATCCTGAATGCCCACCACCACTCTGCTCATATCCTTTCCCCGAGCTCCCATGGCAGCAAATTCCATCCACCTTTCCCGAACTCTCAATCACTGAGTCCAAGGCAAGACCTGTTTCTGCTCTTGCCCCCTTGCAGGCCGTATCTGCGTGGAGACTAGATTGCTTTTTCTACTACAAACCTCTACGGCTGGAAAAACCAGGACTCCCATTTCAGCGTCAGCCCTGATTCTCTGATCCCTCGAATTCTGTCCTTTTCAATCATCTCCCTATGTGGGATGACACTCAGCAGGTTGCTCAAACTCTCTTCACCATGGAAGAGAAAAAGCAGAATCTCACAAAGGCGGCTGAGGCAATCACTGGGACAGCCACACTGCCTGAAAAATGGAGGGCTGGGAAGAGTGAGTCTTGCCAAGGTGAAGGCCTCCTTAGAATTATAACACTGAAGCCAGGTAGTGGTGGTTCACGCCTTTAATCCCAGCACTTGGGAGGCAGAGGCAGGCGGATCTCTGTGAGTTCGAGGCCAGCCTGGGCTACCAAGTGAGTTCCAGGAAAGGCG